CTATGTAGCCTTTTATGCTGATTGATGTTCATTTTATAAAGTTGGTGGTGTATTTGTATTTAAATGACTATGTCAACTTAATGAATTATTTCTTTCTTAATGTGCAGTGGCCTTCTTTATCTCTTCTGATTAATTTTTATTTACACTCTTTGTCAGATACCAAAATAGCTATGCCTGCTTGCTTTCAGCTTCCATTTGCTTGACTGATTGTACTTCATCATTTGAACCTTTGTGTATGGTTATTTTTTGTTAGTGAGATATGTTTCTTGGGAACAACAGATATGTAGTTGGATCTGGGGATTTTATCCAATTACCCTAGTCTTTGCCTCTGTATTCGTGTGTAAATGCACTTACATAATTTATGAGAGATATGTATTAATTAATTTTGTTTTACATTTACTTGTTTAGGGCAGGAGGAATATGCATGCAGAGCTCAGAAGTCTTACTGGGTTATCTCCATCCACCATGTCACATTTGGCACAAGTACCTTACTCCTGCTAAGCCATCTTTCCAGCTCAACTAATTCTTGTAATTTTGTTGGTTGTTTTCTACTTTGTTGGATTGGTGTGCCTTATTTTTTTCCCTTGATGGATTTCTTCCTAGTTCTCCTTTATTTAGTCATTCTTAAGAAATTTATCCCTTCCTGTTCTCTCCTGGTTAAGACTGTTTTCCTCCTCTGTGGTAGTGTTTTGGTTTTTGTTTGTTTTTCTCCTGTATCTTCTGCAGTTCTTATTGGCGGTTTTGAGCAGCTTTCATTTGTGCTTATCTTGAAATGTCCTTATTCTCCAATTGTTAGATACAACAATATTGACTGGTATTCATTTACCTTGAGGACCTGAAATATATTTTCCTATGTTTTCTTGGCCTTTAGGGCTGCTGGTGAGAAGTCTGTGTTATTCTGATGGGACTGTCTTTGTAGCTGACTTGAGGTTTTCCTTTGCATCTTTTAATATTGTTTCTTTGCTCTTTATGTTGACTGTAATGAATTGTGGATAGATTCTTCTCTGAGCAAAGCTCATTGGGTTTTTAAATAACTTTTTTTTTGGGTCTGGATTCTATTTCATTCTCTATATTTGGGAAGTTTTTTTGCGGTAATTTCATTGAATAGATTATTTCAGTACTATGAATGCTTATCTCAGATTCTTCAATCCCATGAATTTATAGTTTGGTCTATTATGTATTAATTTCTGACATTATGCTGTGTCTTTATTTTAAACCGATGCTTGACTTTAATATTTCCTTGACCCTTTTCTTTATATTCTGCCTTATCAAAACTGTTGGTGATACTTTTCAGGTACATTTTATTTGATTCACTGAGTTTTTCATTTCTGACATTTTATTTCTGACATAAATTATTTTAAATATCAATTTCTTAATGGTTTTTTTCTTTCATGTTCCTTTTTCTTCCATAATACTTTTTCCTTAATTTTGGTGACTTTTCTATATGCCTTGGATTGAATTAATTTGCCTGCTTGTTCCCTCTTTGATTCACCCATCATTTTTTACTAAGAAACTCCTGAAATTGTCCTGCATCTTCCTAGTCAGCATCTTTGGATGTAGTAGTTAAGGAGTTAGGGCATTTCCCAAGCTTCCCTGCCTGGCTTTGCATGTTTCTTGTGAATCTGTGATATGATTTATTCATTGGTTGGCCTGGACATCTCTGCTTTTATTTGGGAATTTATTGAGCAGCCTCCTAGTGGAGGCTTCTTGTTCACTACTGCTCAGAGAAGAAAACGGTGCCTTGCTGGAAGAACAACAATAGCAAACCATGTAAGACGTAGAAATACACTTAAAATCTATTGGAGCCACTGGTATTTATGTTATCAGTGTCCATGAAAGAGAAAAATGGTGAAACGTACCCAGAACAACAGAACACACTACAAAGTTAAGTACTCAGAGTGAATACAAAAGTAGTGAGAAAGTGGAGAGCTATGAGAGCACACATTACTCAGTGATAGTGTGGGATGATCAGTGAGCTAGAAGGGTAGCAGAGGAAGGGGAAGATGAAGAAATGATATTTAGTGAATGGAAGAAAATGAGCAGTAGTGGAGAAACACACGGGAAAACAAGGGAACAGATAGCCTGGGATTAGAACAATAGAAAAATGATTTCCCAATAATGAGATAGCTTAAAGGCAAAATTTGAAAGAGGGAAGCTAAGGAGTAAAAATGGAAAACATAAGCTTTTATTTAAAAGGTAAAGAAAAAGATGTTAATGTAAGCACCAGCACTTACTTACCAAATCAGGGTGTCCATAACATGGTCCATGGGAATGAGAACCAGGCTGAGTAGGAGGAGGGTCTCAATGAGATTGAGGCTGAGATAAGTTTATTCCAAGCAACCGGTCTTTTTATACCCTTAACAAAATAGAATACAATAGTAGTTTCTAGGATAATGGTCATTATAATTTATATAGGGCATGCAAGAATAATGTTTAAGACTAATTGTTCTGCTAAACTTCTGCATGCCTCGATGACCTCTAAGGGACACAGAGAAACACAAGCGGCCTGAGTGCTTTACTGCCTGAGTGGGTGCCTTGGCTTCTCAGGAACTGAAAAACACATGGTGCCCCAGGAGCCATGAACTTTACCCTGGAAAACAGATGGTGCATGCCTCTTTAAGCAGCTAGACCAGACCAACTCCATGATTCCCTCATGTTAGTAAGAGAAACTTAGAGGAGAACAGGAGACAAAAAAGAATAAAACATAATGAAATGGAGTTTTCTATTAATAAAAATTCATTAAAATGTTAAATTCATGAAGGGATATAAAAAATATGAAATGTTTTAAAACACAGTATGTGAAAATACTGCTAAAATGTGCGAAGAAGAAGGAGGAGGAGGGGGAGGAAGAAAGAAGAAGGAAAGAAAGAAAGAAAACAGGTGGACAAAACAGCCCTACAGACTACAGCTAGGATATCTGAATCTTCTTCGAATCCCCCAAGACAGCGCCCCTTACCAGCAGGAAGTAGTTTGGAAAGAACGACGTCCAAATTCCCAAATATTGTGTATAAATGTTTGGACTTTGTTATATAAAATTAAATAAAAAAATTATATATATATAAAAAAAAAAAGAAAGAAAGAAAGGAAAGAGGCAGAGGGGGGGAAAAGAGAAAAAGAGAAACTGAGTAGTTTCTGGAGTCCTTGAAACAAATTAGGTACAGTCAGATGAATTTGTGGCATCTTGTCTTTCCCATAGTATATGCTGCTGTTGACCTTATATTGGCTCCTGATTCCCATCAAGCTGTCTTTAGTAGCTTCCCTTTGCATACCAGGGTCCTCATGTGGCCACACCTAGCTTTGCAGTCAAATGTGGGCATCTTCACTCTACTGAAAGTTCTGGATTTTATGCTTTGCTGTTTTAACTGAGGGATGTCTCCCAAGCACACAGAGGCTGTGGAAAAGAACCACAGCTCTAAGACCTGTACAGAGGAGGACTTGTCTTTGTACTCTCAAAACCTCCCTAGTCATAATCATCTGCACTCCCGAGTTCTCAGGTTCTACAACACTGAAGGGTGCCAGGGCCTCTGATCTCAGGCTCAGCCCATCAAACACTACTATTCCCACTCAATGAGATAATGTCAGCCTGTAGAGGTTCTGATGTGACATTCCTGTAGCCTGCACTCTTCAGACTGTCAATCCCTGGTCCTCTTGCTCTGCCCAGCCAGCTAGCCAGCCCCCAGACCTGTAGCAGATTATATTTAAATTCCTTGATGTATGGTCATTGCCTGCTCTCTGGCCCCAGGGTAGCTCATTTTAAATAATAGCATTCTTCTTGAGATAGCACCCAGTGAATCCTAGGGAGTGACAACAGGGAGTCCCCTCTCCTGCTCACCACCAGAGGTACCATCTCAGCAAAACCTGCTCATGGCTTTGTCCTCTTCACCAGGGTCATCAGGGGATCAAGCTGCTGGGCTGTGCTCCTGTCACTGTCTTTGTGACTGTGACCCTCTTCCTCATCCCTCTTTGGAGGAATCATTGCTTTACCTGCTGTCATAGGGTTTCTATGGCTGTGAAGAGATACCATGAGCACAGCAACTCTCATTAAGGAAAACATTTAATTGGAACTGGCTTACAGTTTAGAGATTTAGTCTGTTATCATGAAGAGAAGCATGGTGATGTGCAGGCAGACATGGTGCTGGAGAGGAGCTGAGAGGTCTGCATCTGGATCCTCTGACAGCAGGAAGATTGAGTAAGCCACTGGGCCTGGTGTGAGCTCCTGAAACCATAAAGCCCACCCCCAAAGACACACTTCCTCCAATAAAGGCAAATACACTCCAACAAGGCCACATGCCCTGATCCTTTAAAATAATACCAGTTCCCATGAGTCCATGGGGCCCTTTCATTCAAACCACCATACTGGCTCTTCTCTTTAACTGGCTCACACTTGGGAGCAGCTGCTCAGTTGCCGCCTGATCCCAGTGTTCTATGGCGGCATTTCCAAAGCATTTTTCTGGGGTGCACAGAAGTTTGGGCTAGTGATATTCTCATTTTGGTTAAGAATTTTTGTAATTTGAAAATACTAAGATGAGGATTAACTTTTACACTCATTGGTATGTAACTCCTTGAAGCTAGATGTCACAAAGGAAGCTCACACCCACCTCCCATGAGCAGTCACTCAAGATTGGTGGTTTCATGTTTACCTTCAAGAGTGTTTCTAAGTTTCTTGAAAAATATAGCAAACATTTTTTTTTCCAGTTTTGATTTCTGTAGATTAAAGGTAGGCTAGATGTGAGAACAACTGGCACAAATGTATTTATTTAAAGGAAGGACTAGGTATTTAAGGAATTAATTTTTCAGTGCAGGGAACTGACTCTGGGACCTTGTACTTGCTAGGAAACCCACTACCACTGTGCTATACCCCTCACCCAATGTAAATTGGTGTACATTTTGGTTAAAAAATTCAGCGGGAGTAAGAGGAAGGCAGGAGGCCACAGTTTGCCACTAGTCTTTTGCTGGTTTTCATAATTGCTTTGAATTTATACTTTATTTTCATTTTTTAGGGTGAAGTAATTGCACTGGACAAAATAGTGAATAAAGTGGAAAAATTAAAGCAGAATGCTTCATTATTAGGGCTTCATTCTATCAGGGCATTTTGCTTCGACGCAACAAAGGCACTTAAACTTGATGTGGTTGATGGCCCAGAAGGTAACATTGCTTTTCTTGTTCTGTTTTCTTCTCATAATTGCAAGATCATTGGCTCTTGATACAGGTATGAATGTGGAGTGACCAGAAATTAAGATTATGTATTAGTGTTTATGTAATGTTTATTGTAATGTCTTTGTTAGTGTTTTAATGTGATAATGTTTAGGTGGCAAGATGCTTAAAATTTGCCCTGAGAGCTTTGAAATGCAATATATATTATTATTAAATGTAGAATCCTGTTGTGTACTGGATCTTAAAAACTTACTCTTCCTGTCTAGGTAAACTTAGTAACTTTTCTCCAGTATCTCCCTGTCCTTCCCTGCTATTCCCTGGTAACCACTGTCTGTCTATCTGCTTTTTAGCTTCCAGATACAATTGTCTGTTAGTGTCTGGCTTATTTTCATTTAACATACTATCTTCTGAATTCTTCCATGCTATTTCAAGTGGAATATTTCTTTTCAAGGCTGAATAATATTCTGTTGTGTATATGCACTACATTTTTTCATAACACTTCTTGTTAGTAGACATTTGAATTGATTCTGTAGCATTGCTGTTGTAAATAGTGTTAAATGAACATGGGAATGCAGATATCTCTGATGATGGTTCCCATTCATATATTCCCACTAGCAAGCATGATTGTTGTATCACACAGGTGTTTCTGTTATTTATTGTTTGAAGAATCATGCCATTTCGTTAGTGGTTGTATTAATTTATGTTCTTACAAGAGTATATGTGTGCCCTTTCTTCTCCATGCTCTCACCATATTACCTTCTGTCCTTTTCTTTTGATAACTACCTTCTCATAGGGGTCAGGTTATATGTCTTATGGTTTTCATTGCATTTTCTTTTAGGGTAGTTATAGTGAGCATCTTTTCTAATATACCCACTGGCCATGTCTTCTTTTGAAGAGCAATTAATACCCATCTAAATCCTTTCCCCTTTGGGTTGTGTATTAGTTGCTATAGTAAAACACTGACAAATACAAAGTAAGGAAAGGTTCCTTTTGCCTCACATTGTGGAGGTGTACACTGTTTCTAACCTCCCATCATGGTGTACTCTGTCCATGTTAATGCCCTCCTAGTCATGGTGTATTCCGTGTTAATGACTTTCCCATCATGGTGCAGTCTGTCTTAAAGAGTTTTCCATCATGGTGTACTCTCTATTGATGACCTCTTCATCATGGTGTGGATGGTGTGTGCAGTGGCAAGTACTTCAGGTATTGTAGCAAGAACATGAGGAACCGATCACATTGCATCATATGTAGGAAGCAGAGAGATGAATGCTATTTTCCATTTCTTTGTCCCCCTTGTTCTCCTGAACTTCCACCCATAGAATGATGCTGCCAGGTTTAGAGTGGATTCCCTCTCCAGTTAATCTTCTCTGAAGTGCCTCCACAGACACACCCTTACGGACACTTCCTGAGGTGTGTTTCTTAGGTAACCATAAAGCCAGTGAAGTTACAGTGATAAGCCATTACAACAATGAATAGTTGTTTTTTGCTTGATTGATTTAGTACATATAACTACTCTGTCTTTTGTCTGACATACTTAATTCATTTTATTCCAATAAATAACTGAGTGGTGAAGATTTGCTTGAGTCATCCATTCTTTACTTCCTAAGTGATTTTAGATGCATTTGCTTTCTGTGTTGCTGCCTTCTTTTATAATAGGTGCATTTCTATTGTGCTATATTTTAATCTTATGCTTATCTATTGTAGGTTTTGGTAGCCCAACTTACCAAACTTACCATCATAGGCCATGTGAAACTGATAATGAGTTTCACATTAAAAGCTCAAGGTTTTTTCTTAGCTCCTTTTTTTTTTTTTAATCTTGTTTTGAATTTTCTCCAACACTCTTTCTGTTCACTTGTAACACTTGTCTTTCTGTTCATTGTAGCTTTCAGCTCCATTTGTAGATGAGTCTGTCTTTGCAATGCACATTTTATACCTTTGCCAAAAATGAGGTGGCCATAGCTGTGCGGGTTTAAGACTTGTGCTGTGTTCCTTGGGTTGGTATGGTCTATGTGCCTGTGTCCTAGTGTTATATGCCTGTTGTTTTGGCCTTGTGGTGTGATGTGAAGCTGCATGTTACTAGCGTTAGCCTTTTTGTGTAGGGTTGCTTTGGTTATTTGGGTTTTGACTTCTGAGTGAACTTCAGGATTGCTGTTTTTCTGTGAAGAATGTCATTGGAAATTTGATGATGCTGGTATTGAATCTGTGGTTGGCCTTGCAGAACAGAGCCATTTTCACAGTGTTATTCTATCAATCCATAAGCATTGGTGGTCGTTCCAGCTCCTGATGTTATCTCCAAGGTTCTAAAGTTAGGAAAAGCTTCTGGTAAATAGAACATTTGTATTCTTACAGTATATTATTGTAGAAGTTTGTATTTGTGTTTCTAGTTTTATTTTATTTTTAAGACAGGGTTTCTCTGTGTAACATCCCTGGCTGTCCTACAACATGCTTTGTTGACCAGGGTGGCCTCAAACTCACAGAGGCCTGTCTCTGCCACCAAGAGCTGGGACTGAAGGCATTCACCAGCAATCCCAGCTGCCTATCTAGTTTTAATTAGAGAAATTTCAGTTGCACCAAGTGCATTTGGTGATCATTTTGTGATCTTAATCTTAATGTCTGCATAACAATCCCATACCATTAAGTGCATTTGTTTTTAGCTTCATGTTTGTTGCTATAGCAAATGTCTGACAGAAGCAGCCGAAAGAAGTAAAGATTTAATTTGACTCATGGTTTCACAGGTATAAGTCCATAATGGCAAGCAGGGCATAGGGGAGCATACGTTCATTATGCATCCAGTAACCAGAGCAAAGGGGATAACATCTAGGGCAAGATATTGCCTCCAAGAACGTTCCCCTAGGGTCTTCCAACTAGTCCTACTTCTTGTCTTCTCCTGCCTCCCAACATTAGGAATTAATTGGTGTCTTAGATTTGGGCCCTTGTGATTGCATCTTCTCTGGAATATCATCACAAACATACCCACAGATGTACTTTAGGTATTTCTCAAACCAGTTGAATTGGCAAGAAAGAACAGTCATCACAGTTTATTAGAAATGGTGAGATTATGCATTGCCATTACCTTTATCAAGATTACCAGGTATAGTTGTGCTATAAAGTGTGAGTCCATTCTGAATTCCAACCTGTTATTGGTTTGTCATAGTGTGGGGCCCTGCAAATATGAAGCTTCAGGAATGTATTCAGAAAAAATTGTAGTTTTCACATAAATACTTTGTGGAATTGCAGATTTCTTAGCTTTTAGGCAATTGTTGAGAGCTGTATTTCAGATGAATTCATATGGTCATAGAACAAAAACCAAAATGTATGAAATATTCCAATAGCTAATTTAGTATAAATTTAAATCAGTGAGAGACCACTTAGTAGGAAAATAAGCAGTAGGAGGAGCAGGGCGAATGGATACTTGCAGGCTGTAAAGCAGAAGGGGGACTCTTTGGTAACCTAGAGTTGCCAGCTTCTGGGAGGAGCCCTGCTTAGCCTCTGCAGGTGCCTCCACACAGAACAGGGACTCTCTCACTAGGACATCACCTGTAGAGGGCTCTGGCTACTCAAGTCTGTTACTTACAGGGAAGGATGGAACTTGTGGTGCCTAGTAGAAAAGGCTGTGGAGGTTTTGACAAGAAAACGGATGAGGAGAAAGTCTGTTCTCTATACCTGTTGTCTTTCCTTTCCCCACCCCATCACAACACATTTCACCTCCTGTTAGTGGCTCTTGGAGCCAGCAGGTAAATATGGTAGTCATTTGCACCATTTTGAGATGACTCACACTGGGGACCACTTGAAAGAATGAAAGCAAAATTTTAATAGTTGGCACTCAGGTATGCAGATTAAAAAACTAAAGCTAAGAAAGTAGATTGTGAAAAATATTCATAGATATTATGGGAAAAATTCCTATCTTTATAAAAGCTGGTCTGTTCAGTAAGGTAAGGCAATGGCTTTAGTAGGGAAAAGCTTCACAAAGGATGTACCTATTTAAAGAAAAAATAGTTGGACAATAAAAAGCTGTTTCATTGAGGATTTGGGGAAAGCAGATACACATACTCATGATAATGACAGCATATACTAGTATATGCTGTGGTTTTGTTTGTTTTGTGGGGGTTAGTTACCAGTATTCATCAAAAAATAAAGATTTATTTGAAAAGTATTTTTTCCAAGACAATAGATGAAACAGGAAAAAAAAATGATTCTAGATGGAGATGGGTTACGTTGATAATGGCTTGTGTCTTTTACAGCCTTCTAACCAGATAAAAATAGAAGGTAATTCTGGGTTTACATACTTTCCAGTAACAATGCCAAACTTGCAGGTAAAGAACATAAATTTCATGACTTTCTCCAGTAACACCAAAAAATCAGAAATTACTCATGAGCACACAAGGGAAACTTGATGGGCTATTAAACCCAGAGCACTAATAGATCATAGAGGACAGTAGCCATACACATTGCCATAACCAGAAGACTAGAGAACATTAGCCAGATGAGAATGCTTGACTCGAGACCAGCAACTCTGACCAGAGCTGCCAGCAGTGGGCATTACCAAGGAAACAACTGCCTCTTGACTGATGACTGGAATTGGTACCACGTATAGACTCTAGGGAATTATGGTTTCTAACACTGACAAAGTCAAATCTATATGAAATAGAAGTAATTCTTAGTTTAGCTAAGGACTTGCTTAAAGGGATAAAGGAATTTTCTTTATTCAATATTTTAGATTAATTTCTCTATTGCTTATATGTCAAGAGTATTCTTTTCTAGACCTATATGTAAGATAGCAGATAATGTTTATAATTCTCTTTTATAGGGTCACCTCCATTCTTACCAGAATCGTTTGACCGAATTCTCCTCGATGCACCTTGCAGTGGAATGGGACAAAGGCCAAATATGGCTTGTACTTGGACTTTGAAGGAAGTGACATCATATCAGCCACTGCAGCGAAGACTCCTTAATGTGGTATGTGATGATCTCTTGCTGTGAAGAAATTGACCATTGCTAGTTAAATGTTGAGTCTACCAAGACTGTTGTCTGTAGCAGCAAGCTTCACTATGATCAAAGGTTGGAGGCAATCAGGAGTCATAGGCAGAGACTAGATACATAGGTTTTGATGTAGCCACATAGAATATTTATTCAGCCTGAAAAGGGAGTGAAATTTGGTACATTCTATAATATAGATGGCCTTGGAGACTTTATGCTAAGTGAAGTAAAATAGACACAAAAGGAAATTTTATATGACCCTAATTATAAGGTAATTAGAATAGGCAAAACAGAAAATAGAACAAAGGGAGTTTGTTGAAAGAGAGGGTAGTTATTTAATGGTTACAGAGGTTAAGTTTGGGATGCTTGCGCAAATGAACACTTAAAGTCATCGAATTATTCAGTTAATATGATGCATTTTATTTATCTTTTTTTTTTTTCTACAGACAAGAGATTGAGAATACCTAGTGCTTTGTTAGTGTGGCTTTAGGTTTTTAAGACAGGGTTTTGCTGTGTATCCTAAGCTGGACTCAAACTCTCAATACTCTACCCTTAACCTCCCAGGTGCTGTTGTGATTTGTGTGCATCATCATGCCAGGTATAGCTTTAAACATAGGGAGCTTTCCTTTATGCTTACCCCTCCTTTAAAATAAACACCAGTAATCTATAGTATGTTTTCATTGAGACATTTAGCTAATTGTAAACATTCTACTACCTCTTGAGTGAAAATAGAACAACAAAATGAAAACATAATTGGCTGAGTTGTTCATGCATAATTGCTAATTGATGTAAATAATTCAGTATAAATAAATTACTCTTTACTCGTGTCTTAGTTGTGAGATTAGAAGTCACAAGTCTAATGCAGGGTAACATTATTAAACTAGGCATGATAGCATCCAGAATATAGAAGAATCATAGCAACTGCAAATTTAATTGATCTAGTACATTAAACATAGGATATTTGTGACTTTTTGTCAGTTTTCTTAACAGTATATTTCAAAATATTATGTGCTTTTTATTTTAATTTCAATTTTTCTATTTTTCAAAATTTATGAACAGATAATGTTTACTTGTCCGCACGTACTAGTCAGAATAAACCAGAAGGGCTCTGGACTGGAGTTACAGGTGGTGTGAGCTGGCATGTGGGTGCTGAAAACTGAACCCGAGTCCTCTGCAAAAACAGCAAACACTTGTCACAGTGGAGCCATCTTCCCAGCCTCACTATAATGTTCTTTTGATGACAGATGAATTCATTATTTCTCCCCTTTCCTACAATGACAATGCAGACTACAGCAACAACTAATATACTATGATTATCCAGTCACTAAGGTTGTCATCAAGTACATTTCTGTCTTTCTTGGTGCCTTCATTCATAAAGGAAGCACTGACTATGGATTATTTAACTAGTTTTCAGAATAGTCATCAAAGAACGTGCCTCTGGCATGAAAGCACCAAGCAGCTCATAGGATGCTTTCCAGACAAAATGCCTGAGGGTAAAATGAAGTTACTTCTTTGTTTTTCCTTCTGTTGTCATTTTTAGGTTATGGTGAAAATGGAAATTCAGAGAGGTTACTAAGAATTGATGGATGATTTCCATTCAGAGGGCCAGTGTTGAGGGAGAACTCAGAGAGCAGGTGTATGAGGCATGGTTAAACACTGAGAATGTGAACTTTAGGATTAGAACTGTCTTCATTTGAGCCACAGCTCCTCTACATTAGTGACTTTGGGTACATTGATTTCTAATTGGAGAAATGGGTTGTGCAACACTATCTACTAGGAATACTTCACTGAAGATAGTAGCTGGGCTTTATTATTGGTAAGGATTCTTTGAGAAAATTCATGTTAAAGTCTTTAGCATAGTAGCTCGCACAGAGTCACTGTGTATACTTTTTTTTTTTTTTTTAGTTAAGGCGAAATATTATGATCTTTTGAAAAATTTTTATTAAAATTAAAAAAATTATCAGTATACACACACACACACACACACACACACACACACACACACACACACACACACACACACACGGAAACAAAGTTGTCTGGGTGGGAAATGGGTGAATCCAGGATAAATATGGTCAAAGCACATTGTATAAGATCCTTAAAGAACTCATAGGAAGTTTTTATGAGCTTGAAAAGATAAACTTTAATTATGTAGCCCAGTTGGTAGAGTGCTAGCCTAACATGTCAGACACTTCTTGTTGGTATGACAGAATACCTGATGAAAATAGCTTGGGGAAGAAAGTGTTTATCCTGCTCATAGTTCAAAGATCCAGTCCATCATGGGGATGAAGTTATGGCAACAGGCGCTTGAGGCATCTGGTCACATTCCTTCTATAGCTAGATGCTGAGAGCAGTAGATGCTAGTACTCATCTACCATTACTCCTGGATGAAGCTCTGGATTAGATTCCCAGTAAGACATAAACTGAGTACAGTAGCCACACACCCATGATCCTAGCACTCTGGAGATAGAGGCAGGGGGTTATAAGTTTAAGAGTCCTCTTTGGCTAGACAGAGAATTTGAGACCAGCCTGAAAAGAAAAGAGAAGATAAAATAAAGATATCTGGGAGAAAATTACTTTAGCATGGTAGTATATATCCTGATTCCTTTTAAATATCTACAGCATGCAAAATAATGTCTAGCTTGTAACCAAGAAAGCAGACAATCCATGCCCTTCTCTAAGAGCCTCTTTTCTGACTGGTAGTAGTTTGTTATATTCCATGACGTTAATGCAGTAGAGCAAACAACAGAAAGGAAGGAGTGCTGTGGGTTCCATTTAGATCAAGAAGAACATTTCAGAAAAGGGGACCCATAAGCAACAATGGGTGGAATGCTATGTAGTAACTAGCAATTTAAAGAAGTCAGAGAGTTTCTTACTTGCCAAGGATCCTCAAGTAGCAGTGACTTTGGGTGTTACAAGAACAGTAGGACAGGGTTGCTAATGCAGAAGGGCAAGAAGAGCAGTGTGGCAGGAACATCTGTATGTAGAGCCTTGAAAACTCTTTTAGGACTTTGCCTGTGAAGCTGAGAAGCAACAAGTTGAAAAGCATTGCTCAGACTCAAGTGCGGATACTGGCTTGTAGGAGGCCTGGAAATGGGCTGGCAAGGTTAACTGTTGTGTAATCTGGCTGAAGGGTAAAGAAGCTGTAAATGATGGTAGTGGAAGTTGGGAGGATTAGCAAAAGCTGGACTGGGTGTGTTCATACACGTACTTTTTATTTACTCCATATGTATTCATGTGTGCTTGAGTGTATGTATGTGTACCGTGTACATGCAGGCACTAGCAGATGTCAGAAGAGGATATCCGATGCCCTGTAGTTGGAGTTATAGGCAGCTGTAAACCATTATATGAATGCTGGGACTTGAACTTGGGTGGTCTTTTAGAGCAGTAAGTACTTTTTACCCACAGAGCCATCTTTGCATTATATATTGAAAGAAAGGCCAATAGAGTTGGCTAATGGACGGGGAAGGTGATACGACTACAAGTATAATTGGTGCTATGAGGTCCAGGGCTGGAGCTTTGGGGAGGCTGGGAAAGCTTTTCCAGCAGGTTACAGAGAATGATGAGTATTTGTTTGGGGACACATTAATTGGGATAGCAGAAATGTTGACAAGATAACTGAATACATGCATATGGGGTTCAGAAAGGAGGTTCCCCTACAAATACATGATACAAAATAAAGATAATGTGGGAAGGGAGGTAACTGAAGGTTGTATGTGAGAGACTGAGTCTGTGTGTATCATAAAGCTCCCAGGTACGGCTACATGTAGTCAGCAATGTATGCATTGTGTTCTAACTACAGGAAGAGGCTTTATCTTACAGGACGACATTTTATTGTCACCAAATGCTTACAAGGTACCATGTGCCATCCTGTAACTTACTTTTGGGAATTTATTGGTTTATGGCATACATAGCCTGATCCTTGCTTTTTTTAGGCTGTTAAGCTGCTGAAGCCAGGGGGAGTGCTGGTTTACAGCACATGTACAATAACTCTGGCAGAAAACGAAGAACAAGTTGCCTGGGCCCTCACAACATTCCCCTGCCTTCAGCTTCAACCTCAGGTGAGAACACTAACATTTCCAGTCTTATCAGCATCTCAGAGTGTGATATGCACTGGAATACATAGGATGTTATGGAGAAGTAAGTCAAAACTCTGAAGGTCTCTATTCATAAGAGTGATGGTGTGAACTGACCATGGAATTCACATGACTAAATGATAAAGCATGCTGCATGCTCTCTCTGCATGCTGCCATTGTGCTAAACTGGGGCAGGCTTGTGTATTTTCTACTGTTTATACCACTTACATTAACACTGCATTTCAAAAAAATGCTTTTATTTTTTACGTTTGGTTAGATTTACTCATGTGTATGAATATTTTGCTCATGTGTATGTTATATACACCATGGGCATTCCTGTTGCCTGTAGAGGTCAGAAAAGGCATCAAGTCTCCTGAATCTGGAGTTACAGATGGTTGTGAACCACCATATGTGGATGCTAAGACCAAATCTGGTCCTCCATAAGATCAGCAAGCACTCTTAACCAGTGAGCCACCTCTCCAGCCCCTTAAAAGACTTTGTATTTCATTCCCAGTCCTCTGTTTTTCTGATTTGGAAAATATTGACCATTCTTGCTTCCTGTGCCATCCAGCGTGCATTCTGCAGCAATGGACTTCAGGATATCAAAAACTTAGCTGTGGGGAGAAACTGCAGTTCAGGAATGCCACCCTTTACTTTTATGTTAATGTAGGATATTTTTAAAGCCCTTTGTAGTTTGTTTCAGTGAGCATTAACCTGAGTTTTTTGTTATGATCTTTATTAAAGATGATTCGATTTTGAGATGTTTATATCTACAGGGATATTAACATTCAGAGACACCTGACATTGTGGCATCCTATGTAGAACTCTAACAGTCAGACATTAAAGGTTAAAATCAATCTAGAAATGTCCCCCAGACAGAGAGATGAAGACAGTTAAATGTAAATGAAATCGAGACTAAAGAACACACATGATATTTGTATAAAGAAGTAATGGAACCTTCTCCCCTTATTGCTATATATATAATGACTGTATTTTTTTTATTTTTTTGACAGTAGTTTTTTTTTTCCCCACCAGTGTCCAAGACACTGTCTGTGGAATGACATGTTGGCATTTATGGATCTTTGACACAAGTGGTTTTCAAAAATCACTGAATTCTTTTGGATTCCTAGTTGATGTAGTCATGATTTTATATATCCTTTTCTAATATGTATTCTTCTAGTGAGTGTAAAATAAGAAACCTATTGCAGAGTTGGCGTGGTTAAAAGCATTTTAGATGTTTCAGGGGCTTGCTACTTCTGCTGCTAGAGAATAAGAAGACTGACTACTCATTTGTTTCACTGATAAATTCTACTCATTGATTATCTATAATATGCCAGGCCCAGTATTTAAGAATTGGGTATTTTACCTATTATATATAAGAGTAAACGGAATTAGGTAGAGCTGTTTGCTTAAGTCTTATAGCTGAAATATGTTAGAACTGTATTTTTAAATATCATAATACTGGATAAGCATGGAGGATCCTAAATAAGTAAGAAGTCCGTCATCATCAGGTGGCCACATATCACTGCTTCTCTACTTCCCTCAAATTGGCATGTGTATCCCATAAAAGCAAGAATATTTACTCGTACTTCTACTTCTGGAAGGGGTCAAATGCACAGCCAATTTGTCTTTTCAACTTAAGCTATAAAGAGGCAACTTACTAATTGTAGAGCATTCAACCATAGTTACTCATTTCTTCCCAACAGGAACCACAAATTGGAGGAGAAGGAATGGTGGGAGCTGGCCTGTCACAGGGACAATTGAAACAGCTGCAGCGATTTGACCCATCTGTTGTGCCGCTGCAGGACATGGACACTGACTGTCTCGGAGATACCAAAGGAGAAGATATGATCTGGCTGGCCAACAAGGATTGTATTGGCTTCTTTATTGCAAAATTTCTAAAATGTAAAAGCACAGAAGAGAAGGTTTCTCGGAAATGAAAATTTGGAATATTGCATGTTGCTTTTTCTTACAGCAAAGTGTTGTCAGGCCAAAGGAGGGATGGTATGTTTGCTCTGGGAATAGGAAGATGCAGACAATTTCCCTGGGATCAGTGGCACAGTGTGTATATGTGATCCTGGAAAAGTGTGCGGGGGGTGCTGCTGGGAAAGCATAATCTGCCTTACATGATACAAAAGGAAAGGAAGAATTCCCTGTGGGGTCTGGACTATACTGTCAGTTTTAACTCATTTTAACTCACAAACATTAGTCTTTCTAATGTGAAAAAATAGTCTAAAGACAAAAGAATAAAACTCTAACCCTTTCATGTGGTTATGAAAAAAGCTGTTTTCTGTTCCAAAGATGGCAGTAGTTATTTCATTAAGCATTTGGACCATGAGCAGTAACCTTGATGGCATCATGACTGAGGTAAGTAGTCTTGTTACCTGAATCTCTGTCTCTCTTTCCTAACTAATTCTAAATCAAACCTCTTTTAATGTAAAGATGTATTCACTTATTTACTGTGTGTGATCTGTGTGTGGAATTACTGTTCATATACATGTAGAAATCAGAGGACAACTTTAGGAGTCCATTGCCCTCTTCTACCTTGGGTTCTGAGGCTAGAACTCATGCTGTCAGGGTTGTGTGGTAAATACTTTTATCTGCTGAGTCATCTCATCAGCCCTCAGCTCTCTTAAATGAAGTTTGGAGTTCTTAAAGGTGAAATATAGGTATTTACTTTGTAGATTAAAAACAACTGAGATTAGTCCATAGTTTGGCTGCATTTTATCATCTTTTTGGAACAGAAGTCATGCAAAATAGAAAAAAGCTTGGTGAGAAGCAGAAAATATTTACTGATAGCTGAGACCTAGCCTGGCACTTTCTGCTGGCCCTTGGCTTCTCTTGATGAATATGGGCAGCTACACAGAACACAAGCTCTAGGCAACTGTGTCTGATAGATAAGATAAAATAAAAGCTCTTCTTAATCAAATCTGAACTCACCTCAGACAAAAACAAGAACCTCACCTGTCTGCAGAAGTGACCAGGCATCCTGCCACTGTGGCTACTCTGCTCTGGATATTATATTCAGTCTGCCTGGACCACAGTAACAGCCTAAATATTTACTTTTCAAAAGTGTCATCATGTCCTCAGGCTGATTTCATTCTACCTTCTCTGTAGAACATACCAGACTATTTGTTATCTTTCATTTACACCCTTCCAAATTACTGGGCTTTGGCTGTGTCAAATGGACAACTAGAACCAATCGCTAATAGTTTCTTTTCCTTATAGGTTTCCTGTAGAAAGGTCTCATTAACAACATACTGTATCCATGATAACTGCAGCAGTTCTTGGACCAGTAAAGCCTTTGGGTGGCTTCTTCCTGGAGAAAGTCTCTATTGAACAGCTCTGAGTTCTGCACAGAGCCTATATCCATGGCTCTTGGAACATTGTGATTCCAGTTCACTGCGTGTTACCCTGAGCTTACTCCTACACTTAGGAAATGTACCAGGATAGATAAACTAGTGGGTTTTTGTTGTTGTTTTTTTAATTCACTATCTCTTCTTCAGAGTAGTCAACAGGTGTTTATTGAATATGAAAAAAATATATTGAATTTCCTAAGATTCAAGAATATAATAAGCAAGTCCTTATCCATTTTTCATTCTGCCCATGTCCAGGAGATGCCATTTTGACTAAACTGAAACAATCTCTTTGTGTCACTTCTGTTTCTGGGACTTGGTGTAGCCCCTCTGATTTTAAGCAACACCATAATCATTTTCTATCCTCTACCTGTACATCCTTATCTGCTAAGCTGAGGTGAGAATGGGAGACAGCCTAGCAGCAAATCTATATGTTGTCAACTTTTAGCCATTCTAGTCAATACCAGAGTGCAGGCAGAGCTCGCACCCAAAGTATTGTTAACAGTTTTCCTATTAAGGTGGGTGTTTCTCAGAGTATTTCTTCTTCTCACATTTGAAAGCAAACCATGCATTCTTCAAGAACACAAAAATGTTAGAAAAAGATGCAATAAATGAAAAAAGTCAGGGACACGTGGGAGGTTATTAACATATCTTTTTAAAACATAAGTTTTAATAAATATTTTTTCTGGTTTCATAGAAATAATCTATAATTCAATGGTAAATACATGTTAATTAAAACCCTATGTTAGATATTAGTTTATATAGCAAAATGAAGTAAAGCAGTTAATAAGACCAAGAGCCAACAGTATGATACTTGCTGGAGCAAGACCAGAGCTTCAAGGAGGAGTGGCAGCACCTCACTGAGCAGACAGGGAAGCTATGGGCCCTCTTAAACATGAAACAAACTTCTAAGTATGATTTGGATTATTCTACAGGTTGAATTGTTGTGGGAAGAAGATGCCTTTCTGGTTTACACTGGAAAAATGTTTTACTTGTTTTCTTTTTTTGTTTGTTTGTTTTTTTAAATGAGACACAGAGGGAAGATTACCAGAAAACACCACGTTATTGGCATTGGCCAGGTGAAGATGTTCACATGGTAAGTGTGGAATCTAACATTATTCATTCCTAAAATGGCAATTAATACCACTAAACAGTATAGATGCCAGCTCTTTGTTTCCATGAATGGCTTTAAAACAAGTTCATTAAATAGTTTAGTGTCATGATAATGAGTGTTTAACAAACATGCAGAGCAGACTATGTTAAAATGTGGCATTGTCTTGAAGTACAGTATGTCTGTAAGACATCCTACATTTAGCAGCACCTTTTTTTTTTTTTTTTTTTTTTTTTTTTTTTTTGGTATCAGTAAGTAAAATAGCAGTAGAGGAAGACACAGGAAAATACTATTAACTCCATTTCCAGGGTTGACTACAGGAAAAAGAAATCAGGATTCTACAACTACTGAGTGGGTTAAGATTAAGCCTTTGCTTTTGAAAAGGCTGGGATTACATTCCACAAGTCAGTAAATACCCCCATCTTCCTTGGGATTATTTTCTTATTTATAGGTCAGCTGCACCCTGCTGACATAGACCCACTGTGCAGCCTTCAACAGAACAGAGAAATGCTTTGATACACACAGACATATGTAAAGATCTAAGAATTGGGTAGAAATTAAAAGGTGGACACCATTAAAACTCTTCTTTGAAAGGGCAAGTAATAGAAATACCATCCTTAATGAGACTGAGTATCTCGGAGCCTTGCCTTTGGATGAAATCACACACAAGAAGGGATAAGATTACTGCTAAACATCTGTGATAAATACTTACATTTTATTTTATGAAAACAATCTGAATCTGGATCACATTAATTTGGATTTAGTCTGTTAATTCTATAAGTAGTATAGTGCTGATTCTAAGGTGAAAATTTCATTTTATAAGCAGGTAGAACACTGATAAAATAGTGCATTTAATTCATATTTTAAATGCTTTAGTTTTCTTGTGATAGGATACAGTATTAAGCGTAAAACTCCTTTAAATACAAAATTGTTTTACTTATAAATATTTAAGAATATTTGGGAAAAACTAGAATATCCAGGAAACAAAATGAAAATATATTTATTATAACCATTATTTGTTTTAGTAATGTATAGATCTGGTTGGGTAATCACAGATTGGTGTTTTCCTGAGGAAAACTTAAAATGCTAGGGGCCCATGCAGCTAATACAGTCTTCCCTATCCGTCAGCACTTGGCTTTTCGAGAGATACAGAGATTTTATAGCCTTAGCATAAGAGCATTGCACACTTCTTAAAGTAAGCAAGTCGAGGCATGAAGAAAATGTATCCTAGGTTCCCCTTGAGAGTAGATGTCTCATGTAAGAAAATATTTTTAACTTTTTTCACTTCAAGTCATTCCATTTTGCCCTGATAACTTCTCAAGATTTAGCAGAGACTTTGGTTATAAGAAGCACTTCTGGGTTTTGATAGGGAAATTGTTGGGGGGAAACTGAAGATAATAAACAACAGGAGCAGTAGGCAAGGTTAGAAAGTGAAGTGGGGTAAGGTATAAAAATTTATTCCCCTATGAAATAATTGCACAAGCTGTGTAAACATTTCTTACTAAAACAAAATATTCTGACACACAAAGATTGTACATTTCCAGTGGAACACTCACAGTACAAGATGCCCGTGTTTTCTCTTTCAGGAGCTAAAGCAAGGAGTCCATGGATGGGTGCTTCCTAGTTACCTTTGGCAGCAAGCTTCTTCACATTCCTTGGCTGCTCAATGGGTTTTTAAAGCAACATACAACACAGTTAAATAGTAAGCCAGGTGGGCAGGGCTCTCAGCCGTCAGCCTCTAGTTTCTGTTTCAGTCATCTGTATTCCACTTACCTCAGTCATTCACACACTCACACTCGTGCACATGGCGGGTTGGGCTTGGATACCCCAGTGCAGTGACTATAACAGACACTAGCTTCTAAGAATGTGTTTGTCACAATCAATGTGGACTGTATGGAGTAGAGAAACCTCTGGAGTTTGGTTATATTTACCATAATTTATGGTTAAAATTAAAAACTCAAAAGAATGGGATAACATTCAGAAATCACACCTCAAGTCAAGCAATCACACGTATTTACAATATGTACAGGCTCTCTTTTAGAATGGGGAGAGGTGTCTAGACAATGTTATTAGAAATTTCCTGAATGTGGGCATTTCTAGTCCCTGTGATTCATAAAGCAAATCTGCTGACTTGGCATTAAGACCCTAAAATAGTGTGATCAAACTGATACATATATATATATATATATATATATTACATATATATATAATTATAATAAGGTGTTTGCAGAAATAACATTTACAAACTGTCTATACAGTACACAGTACTAGTACATAGAAAATAGATTCTAACTTTATAATCCGCTTTGTGTAAGGCAAGACTGAATCTGTCCCCAAATTTAGTCAGCCAGAGGTACAAGCAAGAAACAGTGGTTCATGGAAGAATGATGGGTCAGGTATCTGGGTATTAAAAAGCTGGAGAAATTCCATTTCTTATCTGTGCTGCATCTGGCTCACTGGATCCATTACCTACGTTTATGAAGCCACTTTGCTAAGTGGCAGCTGCCCCAAACAGCTTTTGAAGAGTCCAGGATAAAGATGGAGGACTGCAGCTGTACTAGGCCAATTTATGTGGTACTTACAAAAGAATGTATATTAATACTTGATTGCATGCTATTGCTATTCAAGCAACAGCAATACAAAATATACAAGACAGATCACGAGGGTTACAATGTAGCCCCCAAAGATTTTCTTAAGGATGTTGTTACATAAGACTTGGGGGCAGGAACACACATGGTCATTGACGGATATAGACATCCCTATTCCACTCGCCAGCCTCATTTCTTCTCTTGGATATTA